CCTGCCTCAGGGCCTTTGTACAGGCTGCTCCCCCTTCCTCTACCTTTCCCTGGGAAAATTCCTCTTTATCCTTCAGGTCTCTGCCTCAGAGAGGCTACCTGCAATCTCCTGCTCTTTTCTCTTATGACACCCTGTTCTCTTCCTCCACTGCACTCACCCCAATACAGGATTGTTCATTTATGTGTTCATTTGTTTACTGGCTATCTCCCCCACAAGGCTCTCAGCTCTCTGAAAGCGGGAATCATGTGTGTTTTGTTCATCACTGTTTACAATGTATACCAAGTGCCTCACACATAGTAGGCATCAAAAAATAATTACTAAAAGTATGGATGAACGTTAAAAACAAGGGGGAAAAAGGCAGTTAGAACTTTCCCCATGCTAACTGTCTTCTAAATGAAATCATCATCAAATCATATCACGAAAAACAGGAGGGAACATCTTTCACATCGATGGAACTGTGACTTTGAGCCACCCTCCCCCTTCTTAGTCACTCCGTTCCCCTGCTGTGAACAGGTTGGGGTAATTTATCTCAGAACCCGCAGATCCCCATCCTGGACGTGAGCTATCAGGTTCCTACACTGGGTGGGAGGGCTTCCAGTAACGCCCAATGTCATCTTTAGGGGGAATCCCAAGAAAAGAAAAACTTTGGGAGTAACAGCATTGCTCAAATTTTCTAGTCTGTTACAAAAAGCCGAAATGTGCTTAGGAAACCCAGAGGTATAAGTGCAAACACTGATGGCTCAGATTTGTGAATTCGAGACCTCTAGGCTCATCTGTCACCTCTATGCCTCCACCTCTCCCAGAAAAACAACTGTCTAGCCCTCCTTCATCACCTGAATTTCTTTTGACAGCCTGTCACTCTTACTATACTTACAGTTCTTCAAAATGTCTAACCTTTATCAGTATCCAGATCTTTTCACATGCAACCAAATTTCCTCTTGAATCTTCAAGAAATATGAGAAAATGACCCTCCATCAGTCTCTCTTCATATCTGGAAGGCTATCACAGTATCAAGTTTCATCCTATTTAGTTACACAATGGCCTTCCAGGCACCAGCCTGAATATTTATTTTAATCTGTCTTTAAGAGATTATTTCCCCCATTTTTATTGCTCTTAGTGTCCTAAAAAGATGTTTTGGGGCTTCCCTGGTGGCGTAGTGGTTGAGAGTCCGCCTGCCGATGCAGGGGACGTGGGTTCGTGCCCCCATCCGGGAAGGTCCCACATGCCGCGGAGCGGCTGGGCCCGTGAGCCATGGCCGCTGAGCCTGCGCGTCCGGAGCCTGTGCTCCGCAACGGGAGAGGCCACAACAGTGAGAGGCCCGTGTACCACAAAAAGAAAATTGTTTTGGTTTGTTTTCAATCTAGGACCCCAAACTACATGAGACCGGACAGCAGAGAAATCCACATGCTAGCCACCTGATTCTGCCTCCTCTCAGATTCACGTCTGTTTTATGATCACGGGACTTAACTGATTCCCATTTAACCGGGGCCCAGCTGAGACTCCAGATAAGTACGCACGAGTCGGCCCTCTGTATCCACAGGTTCCACATGTTGGATTCAACCAACCTCAGATCAAAAATATTCGGAAAAAAAAAAAAAATTCCAGAAAGTTCCAAAAAGCAAAACTTGGATTCATGCATTGGCAACAATTTATATAGCATTTACATTATATTTACAACTATTTACATGGCATTTACATCGCATTAGGTATTATAACTAAGCTAGAGATTATTTAAAGTATACAGGAGGATGTGCAGAGGTTATATGCAAATATTAAGCCATTTTATATAAGGGACTTCAGCATTCGCAGATTTTGTTATCCCGGGGGTGGGGGGGAGGGGGGGAGGTCCTGGAACCAATCACCCTCGGATATGAGGGACAGTTGTATAAGTGCAAAATCAATTCATTTCCATTTTTTCTTAACTAAAGGGGCCAAACACTCTTCCCTGTTAAATGGATCCTATCTATATGTCAGCCTCTGTTTAGTGCTTTAAAGATATGTATCATCACACTAAATTTGAGGTCTGCAAAATCTGAGTCATTACAAAAAGCATATTCTCTTGACTCCAAATATATGATATATGGGGGCTTATTAAGAGAACAAATGAAAATATCAGCACAGTTAGCTCTTAATGCCTTGAGTTTTAGCTTCTGGACCCATGGGGGAAAAAAATCATACTCTAGAGGAGCAACTGTTCTCTGTAGAGATGAACAAACATGCACACATTAACACACACATACAAAACTACAGACCAAGATTTGAGCTTTTGTTTTGGTTTTGGTTTTAATGTCTAAGGTGGAGTCAAACCATTAATAGCTAGTTCAAATGATCTTCCTAGCCCAACCAGTTTCTTTCCGTTGAATTCCCACCTCTCAGTGTATATCTCATGCTCCAAATCACAGCTACCTTGGGCACCCAAGTGATGTACCAGGACATCAGACAGGCTTAGTTTAACTGGGTTTCCCCAGCACCTTGGAAAGTCCCAGGAAGTGACAGGTGGAAAGCTTGCAATTTCACCTACTGCTAGCAGAGCAAAGAAGGCTTCATTTGCAGTTATTAAAAATCTATCAACTAAAAAAAAAAATAAAAAATCTATCAACTAAGTACCATTTTCCTATAAGCTGATACTCTAAGTGGTCACAAGCTCATATGATAGAGACAGGAGTAATCATCTAAGTTTAGAATTACATCAGAGAGGATGAGAAAAATGGAGATGCGGAGACTGTACCCTTCCTGAAATAGGGAACTTGAGGAGGTTTTCATTCCTCCCAAAGCAGTAACAGAACCTTCTGAATCTATACACGGGGCTCCATTAATCCAGCAACCTGGAAACATCTTATAAACATCAATTAAGTCTGGCCACAAGCTCCATTTATACATAGGGCAACTTGGATGTTTAGAGACCGAGCAGCCTGAAGCCCAGCAACGAGTCAGGGCGAGAGTGGGCACCAGACCCAGGAATCTGGAATCCCCATCTCTGGCAGGGAGATGCTATCTATCTTTCAAGGGAATAAAACGTTCACAGAAGAAACAGATGGCAGAGACAGAAGATAATATCCACACATCTTGGGATGGGACAAGACAAAGGACGGCCAATGGTGCCTAGTTGAAGCTGGAAAGGAAGCCAACCCAAGGCCCCAAATGTCATTTAATCAAATGGAAAATTAGCATTGCTTCAGCCCCAGCTCAGCAAAGACGCTGCTGCTCACCTTATGGCTTGTAAGTTGATGCCACAAAGATACCCCATCCATCCTCACCTCAAAGCTCTCTCTTTTTATCTGATTTGAGTTCAGAAATGCCTGTTCATCTTTGGCCAGATAAGAGAAGCAGGTATTACAGCTGCAAGCACCCTACAAAAAGGGGAGTCTGGTAACTTCAAATCCTCTGGCTTTTCCTGTCTCCTTCACAAGGGAAAGCTGAAATACCGTTTATATCTAAAACACACAACATGAATCAGAGTGCTTCGTAAACCACAGGAGTTGGGTGATAACATGACTGCCTTGCATATTTAAGGTCCAGCAAAGTAACCAATTAAGCTAAGCGAGGCTAGTTGTCGGTACACTAGATGAGCATAATCAAATGTTCCCTTCCAAACACCTGCGAAACAGAACAAATAAATCGGTAACACTTTGGAGTACACAGGGCTTCACCCTGCTTTCCCTGCGGGACTCTGATACCCTAAAAGAGAAGTCTTGGGGGCGGGGGGGGGGGGCTGCCGGGGCATAACG